ATATATATATATATATATATATATATATATATAAAAGTAAATGTAAATGGATATAGATCCGACAGAATGAAGAAAAATTTGGAAAAAACAAACAAAAATCCTTAAATGCAATTATGTTGTTTAAAATGAATGAAACTGAAACTGAAAATTTTTGATCACCTTTTTTAGCGAGATTAATGCTCGACAAGCATACACATACAAATTTTAGATCCTAATAGAATTCTTTTCATTTTCTTTTTCATTCAAAATAATCAAAAATTTTTAGGAATACGTTTTGAAAGCGTCGCCCATGTGACGACAACGTGACCATGCTAAACGGAAAGCTGATCATTTTAAAAATTTTCAGTTATCTGTTTTGGATAAGACTTGTTGTTTATGTCCATCGTCTTTGTCAAATTGAACTGAATTGTATTTTAATGAATATTGTCCTGGAGAAGGTTTATTAAACCGAAACGTCAGACGTCGACATTTCATTCATTTTAAACAACATAATTGCATTTAAGGATTTTTGTTTGTTTTTTCCAAATTTTTCTTCATATATATATATATATATATATATATATATATATATATAATATATAGGATGAAAATATATATATGCTCCCTTGAAATCCGTTTGAGCTCTCTGGAGAAAAGGGTAATTTTAAAAACAGTGGCTCATACCACTATTAACGCGTTGCTCTCCAACCGAATTGAATTAAGCTCTCCAGGCCACTGTCGTATTTCACATAGAAAACGTTAAATTTTCCCTTCCCCATGCCATGCGATGATAGCCTAGGATCAGAATCTCCTACTGATACCATTTCAGTCGGGTTTCGATGCGGGCTTGAAGCAATCGCTCGTCTAGCCACATTGAAAAGCTGTGATACAGCGAAACAGGGTGTCTGTGGATGACTATATATATATATAGTCATCCATATATATATATATATATATATATATATATTAGGGGAAAGATTTGTAACAAAATGGAAAATATATTGCAGAAATTCAAATTTCCAACACGGCGGTAGGTATTTATTTAATCTGCTTGACTGATAGAAGTTCATCTAATTTTTTCTACGGTGGACATAGCTGTAAAAAAATAGCTGAGGAATATAACGTGAGTGCCCTTTTCATAAAATTTTTAACTCCCCATCAATCTTAAAAAAAGAAAATCTAATATTTGATCTAATATTTTGTTGACTTTTAGGTATTTTGGCTTTAAATTTGCTATAGTTAACGTACTTACTTTCTAATAATGTTGTGTATGTACATCCGTATTTACAAATAGTGGCACGTTTACATACACACAGAAAAATTCAAATTTTGAAAGATTATTGGGATCGAGGAATTATAGTAAGCTTTTCCTTTGATGATTAGTAAATATATTTTTAATTTAATACTAATATCACCTAACCGGTACAATTTCCAGATTAATATACAATATTTAAAACTTAAAAAAAATTTATATTTAAAATTTTAAAAATGAAAACACTTTCTGAAGAAAATATTGTACATAAGATATGTATATGAAGAGGTACGGTGGAGTTATGGATAGCGGCTGAGATTGAGGAATCGGAGAGCCGAGTTCGAATTCCAGTCACTTACGTACTAATACCATTGGAAAAGGTGTGAATCCACTTCTTCTCCCCAAATAGCAGTAGGGACCGGGTTCTATAGCCATAGATGGCAACTGGTCTACCGCAGAAAGAAATGGCAACCTAGTGCAGGAAAAAATCTCGCTTAAGCGTGTATCACGCATGGCACATAACTGACTGAAGATGACCTTAACGCTTAAATATCTTAAATTATTTCGACTGGCAGATGCCAGTCTTTGTGACTCATTTAATTTAAGCAAAAATTAATTAAAAATTAATTAAAACCTATTTCTTAAACGTTTCAAGCTTCTTTGCATTATTTTTACTCAAATTAAGGAGCAACTGCTAGTCGAAATATTTCCATAAAAATAAATCATTCGTTGCATCTACAAGTTTTTCTTTGAATTAAGAATAAAATGAAGTTTATGATGAAAGGGAGATAATCTCTAAAGGGAGATAATCGACATCAGCTAAGATAAATAGAACAATGGTTGATCGGCTTATAATTTTTTTATAATTGTTTTGTCAACGTTTCGTTCAATGCGAACATCAGCAGAACTAGGAAAAAAAGCTAGGAAAATCATTACCATGGCAACATTAGTAGTTATAAATGTTATTAACGCTTAAATATTATCATAAATTCTATTTTAATTTAATTTCAGATTTTCCTTAACACCTAAATATCATAAATTATCATTGTATATGTAATTATTATATTCTTTATGATTCCTTTTTTGCTAGACGCATGCCCGTCATTTGTCGATCTCATTGCAATTTCTTGGAAGGTCTTATTGCCTTCCTGAATTGTATGTTTTCATTTACTTTGATAACAGGCAGCAATTTCCCCTCAGGAGTTTTTTAATATCAGAAGAATGCAGGAGACTCCTTGAAATGATTGAAGCGCTTTCATCGTTTAAGCTGTGGTCAAGTACCGTGAAGCAATTTGGCATAAAGCATTTGCTAAAGTATTCTGATGTCCTCAAGGAGATTGATATGGACTGCCCAGCGAGGCGTGTGCGAATAAATGTGCTGATTACATTGGCTTTATATATATATATATATATATATATATATATATATACTTTAAAAATCAGGTCAGTTGAATCCACTACCTTTGTTTCAACCTTACGGTACCTCAGGCGATTTTTATCAATTGAACTCACAACAATTTATTAAAAAAAAAAAAATAATGAACGCTATATTATGTTATTTTTAAATAAATAAACAAACACACGACGTTGGGTATAATTGAAAGTGGGGAGAAGAATTATAAAGAAGAAGAAGAAGAAGTAGAAGAAGAAGAAGAAGAAGAAGAAAAGCAAGGGTATTATAAAAGTATCGGTAGGACGTTAATTTGAAAAGTACACTTTTTTATCCAACCTCATATGTGCTTAAGAGGTATTTCCTAATATGTATGCAAGGACTCAAGACTTCGGATTGCTGGTACAATGATTCGCTAAAAAATGCGTATACCATGATAATAAAAATGGCCACACTTAATAAAAACAATATTTTTTCGGTAAAATCTTTATTATTATTAAAATGAAAGACCAAAGTATTTTTTTGAATATTAAATTAATTTTTTATCCATTTTAGAATGTTCGAAATTTTGGTTAAAAACTTTTTTCTTGCGTGAGCGTAGCAAATATTTCTATAAGAAATGCTAGCGTGTTTTTTTTTTTGCGCTGAAAAACACGTTCATTTGGAAATTCTTGCAAAAATCAGATAATTTTCGGATTTTAATGATACTTTATTGACTTATTCACAAATAAATGAACTGATTTCAGAATTTTTTTCCTTTTCAGAGAATCTTGGTAAAAACATTTTTTTTTCCTCTGCTAACCACCGTTTATTTACTTTTATGAAATTTCGAGAAATTAATTTTTTTATTGCCTAGCGCTTTTTTTAGTTACTAGCAGCATGGCCCGGCGTTGCCCGTGCTTGATTCAAATATCGTACGACTCATACAGCAATCGCTATCACTTGACTTAAAATATTTTTGTCCTTCCTTGCCTTTAAAGGAGTGCCCTTTGCCGTGCTGATGTTGCAACATGCCTTACTTCTTGCCTATCTAACACTGCGAATTTCCTGAAATATTGAGACTGGTCATACTACTTGGGCGGGGTTGTTGTTGCCCTTGTTTTGTTATCCCGGAACTTTGGAAACCATACATTGATCCGATTTTAATTTCAAATAAAAAAGTGCGCAAAAGTGTTAACAAAGTCAACTGCACAGAGTCCAAAATGAGGTGAAAAAGCTTAGATATACTGGGCCGCGGAGTGCAGGCGAGACATTCAACTTAAAAACCCCAAAATCCGTATCACCTGTGAGTTAATCGTTTTTTTTTTTTTCCCAAAGTTTGAGTGCCAAACAAAAAATCGGGCCCCGGTATGACACAATGACGTAAATTGAAAAATCGGATATGGGATGCGGGTTGGGAGAAAGAACAAAGTTTAAAGAAGTGTGAAATGGACTGCTGAGGGCATGGTCAACACGGAAGTTTGCATCGATTTTTGAGTCACGACGGGGTCACACGGCATTCTATGCAAGGCACCTCTAACTGGGCCGCATAGGAATTTCTGGTTGAATTGTAAAGAACGCCCGAAATTTTGGAATGTAATCCGCCCAAATACCGGAGTACCAGCCGATTTATCAATTTTTTGAAAGCCTGAGTCCAAATTGAAAATCTGTTTCCGTTACGAATTGACGCTGTAAATGTCGGAAGTTGAATCGACATTTGACGTTTATTGCAGCCTGGGCGGGAAAAGAAGTCAAAAACTGACAGCTGATGGCAGGGTCGAACCGGAGCTGTTTATCGATTTTTTGCTGCACGAAGGGGTCTCGCAGGCATTTTTGAAAAGGCCCGTAATCTGGTCGGGTTTCTTTTCTGTACATATGGTATGGTGATGTGAGGAGAGACAATTGATGCTTGTAACTATACATTAGTTGGCGATGTGTTCAATGTTTCACAGTAATGCGGTAAAGGGGAGCAAGTGCTTATCCCAAGGATGCATTTGTATCCATCAGATGCCGATGTACCCTTCACTTTCAGAAGATCCCCATTCCCATTCACACCCTGTTTTGCTATGACAATTAATAAGGCCCAAGGAAAAACACTGTCTATTAATGGTGTACACTATGAGGAGCAGTGATTCTCATACGGCCAATTTTACGTCGCCTGCTCTCGAGTCGGCAGGCGCGATGATGTGTTCCTTTATTCACCCTCACAAAAAGATGAAAATGTGGTCTACACTGAAGTCCTCAGCCAGTCCTCAGCAAACTCCATTCCATTTTTCCTTTCCATTAGCTTTCGCAACTTCAGATGGTAAACGCGCGCAATGAGGTCTGGACGGTCGTAGGCCGATTCCCCTGGCATCAGTTCTTTAGCAATTGCGTACCATTTTGGGTTACGCATGAGAGTTATGAATAGGTCTGGTCGGTTGTATTACGAACGTATGTCATCACGTCTTGCGTCCTCGCGTGCCTGTATCGTGGACTGTCTGTGAACGTTGCAGGTAGTATGCACATCTTGCCTATATTGCGTGGACCAGCGTCATTTCGTAAAGCATCACGGAGGTGAATGTAAGAGTCGCAGCGCAACTTGGTCTGATTCAATCTGATGTAACAGAGTCTTTCGGATTCCATCTTAGCAGCCATGTCTACTATAAATTGATGGAAAAGTTGCCGGCTTCAATGAAGATGTTTGAATGCACCCTCATGTAACATCAATAAGAAAGCGTAGAAAGCCCTGCAAGACACTGTTTTTAAGGTGGACCCATTTGGCAGAATGCCAAAGTGGTACCCATCTCCGTAAGGGAAGAGAAGTGGGTATTGCAGTGCATCGTAGGAACGGTGCGTTTCACTGATTCTTCGGAGCCCACTGCCGCGCGATTCGATAATAATGTCACGTCTGTTGTGCTGATCACCGCTGACAACGACGGAAACTTCGTTACTTGTGGGAGCATTGTAACGACGTTTCCTGCTCTCCCTGAGGCCGTTTGTCAGCATCAATTACAATAATGAAATCAGAAGAAGTGTAATTTTCGAGAGCATACTTAAAACTGCGGACATAGCTGTTTGTCTCGTGGGGCATTTGTTGGAGATTCATTATGATATCCCTGCGAGGATGATTGTCCTGGCCTGTATCGTTCTCGGGAATAATTCCCATGCGTGTATCTGCCTGTTGATTGGAGTCAGATATGAAGTATATTTGTAGAAAGGCCGAATCAGTGGCAGTTTCCGGCAAAAGAGACCCAATCCGGTGGTAAACCTGACCTTGAATCTTGAAGGTGGAATTCCAACCGACTTCGCGGAAGGCATTACCACCAAATAAGGTCATCTGGAAGACACAATTGTACTGTCTGATTTTTGCGAGGAAATGTTTGGAGTCTGAACTGGAACCTTCCAACAGAGCTTTCAACGGAGCAGGTAGCTCTTGAAAAGGTGGCAACTGTACCTTACCGTCTGAACAACACAAACCTGCAGACTCTCCAGGCCATTTTTTCGGCATTGCGATGCCCACAGACAACTGACGTGGATCCTATTTGGAGATCTTTGCGACCGGAAAGCCCCAAAACTGGCTCATAGTTGAACGCCAGCTTAAACCAAAACTGCTTTGGTGGGCTACAGAGCCCTCGCTGTGCATGGCGGCGCTGGTTAACAGTCTGAAACCTTTCTAGCCTTTCAGTAGGCCCTTCTACAACTATAGCAGCGTAAGTTGAAATTGCATCGCGTTGCCGCGTTGTGCGCTTTTCCGCGGAACTTTCAGCAGAAGTTGCAGCGGCGTCGGCTGCATGGCGTGCGATTTTCTCAGCCATGGATTCCTGGGACCCTCGAATGGACGTTGCCGCAGCTTTCGCTGCGTTACGCGTGGTTTTCTCAGCCGTGGTCTCCTGCGACCGTCGAATGGATGTTGCCCCGGCGTCGGCTGCATTGTAGTAGTATTTCGAGGCGGGCTCTGTCGAGACTGCAAAAGCGTTTGTAATGAAACCGCTTATTTGTTGTCTTGAAAGTGTTTAGGTAGTTTCCTCTTACTTTTCAACGAATATGTGTAAACTGATTTGCAGTACAAACAGTAGTTATGCTCCCCAAGCGTTTCATGTGACAAAACATACTGCTTCCGTTGAGGTTGAATGGAAAGCCTCAAAGAGGCCTCTACCTCGGTTTCCTCCTCCCGCTTTCTCTTTGCCGCAGAGGATCTTTTAGAACGCCTGCTAAGGTTGCTTCGCCATGGTATTTTGGCGCGCTTAGCAAAGCTTCCGGGTCGGTCATCGCCACGGCACTCAGAAGAGTGCAAAGCAGAGGTTGAAGTAGACGTCAGCCGCTTCTCCCCCAAGGAGGCGCACTCAATGGAATCCTGCTCCCGTTTCCCCTTAGCCGGTGAGGCTATTCAGAACGCCTGCTAAGGTTGCCTCGCCTGGGTGTTTTTGCAGCCTTTGCAGAGCAGCCGGGTTGGGCATCGTTACGGCACGCAAAAGATTTCAAAGCAGAGGTTGAAGTAGACGCTATATGATCTTGTGTAACCGGAGTTATTATATGCTTCTCCGCTGCCGCATATGTAACGTTAACGGTATTAGGTGTCTTCAGTTGCTGACGTGCGGATGTTAGTCGTGTAGGAGCCATTTGAATGTTTGTAGAAATGCTGTTTAAGAACGCGAATAAAGTTGATGCCGAAGCTGAAGCGGTGCAACCTCGTTGTATACAAAAACTAAAAATGCAGTGGAGCGGTATGGAAAAAGCTTCTAGCTATGGGCCGTGCTTTCTGGCAGCACGAAAACGTCGCTGTAGGAAGAGGTTACGCAACCAAAACGTCGAAAGGTTGAAGGTTAAAACGTAGTGAAACACTGTGGTGTACTGGGCCGCGTAGTAAAGGCAGAAGAGAAGTAACTTGCGACAACAGTTAACTGTCTAATAGCAAAACTGAATTACGAAAAGGTAGAAATAGGTATGGAACGCTAAGATGGACTGGGCTGCGCAGTAGAGGCAGCACACGGAGATAAAGTGTGTAATGCAAACGTTTAAGCAAATAGGTAACTTGCGGTAGCAGGAAGCTGTTAATTAATCCAAGGATAGATGCGTTAATAGCGATCAAATCAAGACGTGAGTGAGGATTCAACCGCATTGAAGGTATTTAAAGGGAGCGTGACTTGTCATTGATTGGTGTAGCCTGGACAATGGCCATGATTTAGACCAATGAATGAGCTCACGCAAAATGGAAGATGCTAGCGCGCATTCACGCGCACGCGCATGATTTGGCAAGCGCAAGGCTTGGCCTTAAACGTGGTCAAGCTGACTACTACATATGCAGCTTGGCTCTAACGCACGTGATGCCGGCGATGAGAATGCAAGGAGCTGCAATGAAGCGTCTGCTCGTTTGGTTTCTGCGACAACGAAAAGCTGCTAACCGTATGCCGGCATTCGCTTTGAAATGGATTGGGAGGAAGCCCTGCTGTTTTAGCGCAAAAACTCCTCGTCAGGTCTAGGATGAGGCCTGGGCTAGGGGAAAAGGTTTTAAGAATTGTAAAATGGTCTGCTGAGGGCGGAACCATTTTCACTCAGCACGTATGCGTTTTTTTTTCAGTAAAGACGCGAATAAAGGAAGTGTTTATTTTGGTAAGATGCGACGATTAAAGCAAAAGTGTTGACAAAGTCGAATATGCCATCTGTGGCTCAAATTCAAACCTGGTAGCAGAAAATAGAAAAGAACACGTTGGGTGCATAATCCGGGGTTCCTTAGTATTTTTTGTTTTTTATTTTTAAGAAGACAGTGCTCCATATAGACAAGAGCTCCTTCAACAATATTCAAAATAGAAATCAGACACCTCTATCCCAATATTTCTGGCATCTAAAAGAAACGAATAAAACACCAAAAGTAAAATGGAAAATAATAAATAAAACAAGAACCTGTAAAACCTGGGATGACCCATGCCCTTTATGCTTACAGGAAAAACTACACATCATTAAATTTCTAAATAATGAAAAATTATTAAACCATAGGCAGGAGTTAACGGTTTTTTGCAGACATCAACAAACTTTCGCATTAAATAATTAGCATATAAAAAAAAAATCCCATAGCTAAGTAAAATTCTTAAAAGCAAAGCCAAATCATTAAATAGGAAAAACCCTTTTTGTAGTCGTCAAAAAACAAAAAAAAAACAAATTGAAATTCAGTGCAATGCGATTTGTATATAAAACACCCACTTGAATAAACAAATAAATAAATATATAATCAGACGGACAATAATAAAAAACAATTCCCCAGACACATAACGATTGTAGGCGCGCCATAAAAATATCCCTCACTGGGAACTAACTAAAGGGTGACCGCAAACATTAGCCTTGAAATAGATACCCTACTCAACCTTACCAAAACCTCTTAGAAGATGATGAATCTATTGATAAGAATTAACTCTCCGACCACTTAACGAAGGAAAATAGTCTAGCCACTCCCACAATAACGAATTCCAAAATGACCGGGCCTAAAAATATACGTAAACCGACAAATAGCTTACGATTAAATCACGCTGAAACACCGGTTCTCGTTCGATCACCGAAGTTAAGCAGCGTAGAGCCAGGTCAGTACTTAGATGGGGACCGCTTGGGAACACCTGGTACTATAAGCCCCAAAGTAAACCCCCTTACCTCATAGTCGGTGGGGGTGTAAACAAAGTGTCAAAACAAATATGCCGCCCGGAACTTCGTTCCTGGTAAAAATACCAAGGCGGACAGGTCTGACACACACGCCGGCTAACAAGGGCTCTGGTGAAAATCCAAGGAGCGTCTGCATCGGTAACCGGCGGCTTCTGGTCGTTCCTGTCTCTGCATCTGTTTTGAATCCCATCGGCAAGCAAGAACGTTATCCGAGTAGGCCTGGGTACCCTACTTCTGTAATTTATCCCAAGAATCTTCTTCTCATAACAGGAAGAAGCCGGCTCAATCCGCCCAGGGTGAATGCCGCATCAGTACAGTACAGTAGTAAATAGCTTATTCCTAAAATTTCGCTCGAAGATGAAACGGAACTAAACACCACAATCCAACTTAATTTTAATAATTATTTGGATATTTCGGCTCTCGTTTTTGAAACATGAGAACTCTTATGTAGCGAAGGAATCATATTTTTAAACAAAAAATATTATTATATCATATATATATATATATATATATATATATATATATATATATAAACACACACACACACACATATGTTTAAATCCAATGTAATCAGCACATTTATTGCCACACACACTTTCGCTGAGCAGGCCAGGTCAATCGCCTTGAGGACATCAGAATACTTTAGTAAATGCTTTATGCCAAATTGCTTCATCGGTATCTGACCACAGTTTAAACGATGAAAGCAATCAATCAATTTAAACGAGTCTCCTGCATTCTTCTGATATTAAAACTCCTGTGGGGAAATTGCTGCCTGTTATCAAAGTAAATGAAAACATACAATTCAGGAAAGGCAATAAGACCTTCCAAGAAATTGACCCAAATGAGATCGACAAATGACGGGCATGCGTCTAGCAAAAAAAATTGATTCATAAAGAATATAATAATTACATATGCAATGATAATTCATGATATTTAGGTGTTAAGGAAAATCTGAAATTAAATTAAAATAGAATTTATGATAATATTTAAGCGTTAATAACATTTATAACTACTAATGTTGCCATGGTAATGATTTTTCCTAACTTTTTTTTTGTAGTTCTGCTGATGTTCGCATTGAACGGAACGTTGACAAAACAATTATAAAAAAAATTACAAGCCGATCAACCATTGTTCTATTTATCTTAGCTGATGTTGATTATCTCCCTTTAAAGATTATCTCCCTTTCATCATAAACTTCATTTTATTCTTAATTAAAAGAAAAAACTTGTAGATGCAACGAATGATTTATTTTTATGGAAATATTTCGACTAGCAGTTGCTCCTTAATTTGAGTAAAAAATAATGCAAAGAAGCTCGAAACGCTTAAGAAATAGTTTTTAATTAATTTTTAATTAATTTTTACTCAAATTAAATGAGTCACCAAGACTGGCAACTGCCAGTCGAAATAATTCCATAAAATAAATCATTCGTTGGAAGTACAAGTTTTTTCTTTTAATTATGCAATTACCAACGGAGACAACAATCCTAATTGTGGTTTGGTTTCGTTTATTTTGTTTTACGGTATATCAACCTCAATAGGTTATTTAATGCCGACAAGATTGCTGGTAATATGTTTTTTCAAAAATGTATTGTTGGTATTAAAATCTCTTTTTTACACTTTAATGGTGTTTTGAATCCAGTTGTTGGTGGGGGGGACGGTTAACTATTTACCCATTGCTGGAACCCTAACAGGTGCTACCACCCCGGGCTAGGGTGGACCTAGGAACACCTGAAATTAAGAGGTGATTCCACGCTTCTCAAAAACTGATCAGAGGCCTTGCTGTCGGATGTAGCTTATCGTAATACTCAGGACATTCAGTAATAGTCCCGGATTGTTTTACTCAAATTATAGACGTGACCAAGTCTGGCAACTGCTAGTCGAAATATTTCCATAAAATTAAATCATTCGTTGGAACTACAAGTTTTTTTTCTTCTTTTAATTAGGCAACTAACAACGGAGACAGGCATCCTAACTTTAACGTCTTCTTGCTGTGAAAAATACGTTAATTTGAACAATCTTGCAAGAGTCGGTGTCCTTCAAAAACTTTAGCGGATATTAACTATGCAGTTGACATAGCTATCACTGCAGACATCATTAGCAATGCCAAAGTTTTCGTACATCATCTATAAAATGCTGTTAAATATATTGAACTCTATGTCAGTGTCTCTACAAGGAAATTCCTAAGCTTCAACCAACAAGGCTCAATACAACCTCATATCAACTAATAAAATCTGTCGAATTTTTTACATATTTGGGAAGTGAAATATATCATACTGTAAAGGATATAGAAATTCGCATACCTAAAGCCTGGGCCGCTTTGAATAAAATGTTATCTGGAAATCTGTTCTACCAGACAACCTCAAGCGAAGATTCCTTCGAGCCACTGTAGAGACAGTTTTAATGTATGGTGCCACTGCTTGGACATTACCTAAAACGCTAAAGTCTCAGCTTGATGGAACTTGTACTCAGATGCTAAGAGCTATACTCAACATCTCTTGCCATTTTTTTTTGTCATATATTTTTTTACGCCTAAACTTGTTCTTACTTTGTATGTAAACGTCATCAACTCGGTTTTTTCCCCTTGATTTGAATTCTTACGTGTTTCTAGTTTCTTTGCATTGTTTTTACTCAAATTAAATGAATGACCAAGACTGGCAACTGCCAGTCGAAATATTTCCATAAAATAAATCATTTGTTGGAACTACAATTTTTTTCTTTTAATTATGCTACTAACAACGAAGACAAACATCCTAACTTTCATTTTATTCTCTTTTTCATTTGATTTGATTGATTTGTTTTTTACCGCTTATCAACCCATTGCTAGTTATTTGCAGCCAGAAATATTTATAGGTTGTAAGAATTTGGGTGTGGGAGATAATTACTGCTTTAGTGATATAAGTCTTACTAATTGACCCATAGCTGGGGGAGAAATGATGGATTCATGTTTAATCAAATATTTGATAAACAAAAAAATAAATTATACGGATATAAAATAGGGGATCAATTCTATATTACAGTAAATATATAAACGGATCCCACACTTCATGACCACGGTAGTTTCTGTACATTTATATACTAGAGAATGTAAAAAATCTAAAAGACATGCCCGTGTAACTAATCAGTATTTCATTGATTGATTGATTCATTCATTTTCTACGGCTTATCAACGACGAAGAAATAATAATGTGAATATAAAGTGGGGGATCAATTCTACATTACAATCAATATATAAACTGATCCCTTACTTCGTGGACGGAGTACCTTCTTTACATTTATATTCTAGAAAATGTAGATAAATCTGAAAGACATGCCTTTGTAGCTAATCACTATTTCATTGATTGATCAAAACGTTTTTCATGGCTTATCAACAACCAAGAAATGCTAATGTGGATATAAAGTGGGGGATCAAATATAGATTACAATCAATATATAAACTGATCCCTCACTTTATGGACGGAGTCGTTTCTATACATTTCTATTCGAGAGAATGTAAATAAATCTAAAAGACATGCCTGTGTAGCTAATCAGTATTTCATTGATTGGTTGATTCTTTTTCTACGGTTTATCAACGAACAAGAAATTATATTGTTGATATAAATTTGGAGATCAATTCTAGATTAAATCACTATATAAACTGATCCCTCACTTTGTGGCCAGAGTAATTTCTATATATTTATATTCTAGAGAATGTAAATTTATTCTAAAAGACATGCTTGTGTAGCTAATCAGTATTTCATTGATTTGATTGTTTTTTACAGCTTATCTACAGATTGTTTACAGCTAGAAAATCTTTTTGCTCAACTTCGATGATCGTACGTGAACTCGTCTTCACGATTAATTATTCCGAGCCATTTTCCATTACCCCACTGCACATCTAAGCTTACAGCATCTGGTATTC